ATTAAACAAAGATAAAACTGAGGTAATGGTTTTTGGAGCCAAGGCAGAACGTATAAAAGTTAGCGCTGAGCTTCAGTCTGCAATGTTCAAAACAACAGATAAAGCCAGAAATCTAGGTGTAGTCATGGACTCTGACCTGAGTTTCAACAGTCACATTAAAACAGTTACTAAATCAGCCTACTATCACCTAAAGAACATATCTAGGATTAAAGGACTAATGTCACAGCAGGATTTGGAAAAACTTGTCCATGCTTTTATCTTCAGTAGACTCGACTACTGCAATGGTGTCTTTACAGGCCTCACTAAAAAATCTATTAGAAAGCTGCAGCTAATTCAGAACGCCGCTGCTCGAGTCCTCACTAACACTAAGAAAGTGGATCACATCACTCCTGTTCTGAAGTCTTTACACTGGCTTCCTGTGTGTCAAAGAATAGATTTCAAAATATTGTTGCTGGTTTATAAAGCTTTGAATGGTTTAGGCCCAAAATACATGTCTGACCTACTGCTAAATTATGAACCATCCAGAACCCTCAGGTCTTCAGGGACTGGTCAGCTTTCTGTCCCCAGAGTCAGAACTAAACATGGTAAAGCAGCGTTCAGTTATTATGCTCCAAATATCTGGAACAAACTCCCAGAAACCTGCAGGTCCGCTGCAACTCTTACTACTTTTAAATCCAGGCTGAAGACTTTTCTTTTTGCCGCTGCTTTTAATTGAACTATTCACATCTTAAACTGCACTGTAACTTTTAACTTTTATCCATGTAATTTTTCTTTTAATGTTTATTTTATTATCTTTCCTTTTTAATGACTGATTTTGAATGCCATTTTTAAATTGTCTTCCATTTTTGTAAAGCACTTTGAATTACCTTGTGTTGAAAGGTGCTATATAAATAAACTTGCCTTGCCTTGCCTTGCCTTGCTGCAGCGTGATAAAATCTGATTTTAAATTGGAAACGGCCATATCCAGAGAAGGAGCACACGAGTATACAATAGTGTCATCAGCATACATATGATAGGTAGAAAATTGCATCTGATTACAAATATTGTTTACATATAATAAAAAGAGCAAGGGCCCTAAAATAGAGCCCTGTGGAACTCCCTTCTCCAAGGTGACAGGGTCAGAGACAGTACTACCCAACCTGACGCATTGAGTACGGTCGGTTAGATAACTCTGAAACCAGCAAATGGCATTGTGACCGAAACGAGACACCAACATAACATTAGACATAATGTGGTGATCTACAGTGTCAAATGCTTTGGCTAGGTCAATAAACAATGCAACACAAACTGATTTCTTATCCAAAGCAGCCTTAATATCGTCTAAGACTTTCAGACTGGCAGTCACAGTACTGTGCTTTGATCTGAATCCAGATTGCATAGGGTTAAGGATGTTGTGTGAATTAAAAAAAAGTTTTAGCTGAGTAGAAACAAGGGACTCAAGAATCTTTGATAACACAGAAAGATTTGAGATAGGACGATAGTTATTCAACTCCGTGGGATCACCAGCTTTCAAGAGGGGCGATACCAGAGCTTGCTTGCTGTCATAAAGAGCAGGGGTCGGCAACCCGCTGCTCTCGAGCCGCATGCAGCTCTTTAAGCCCTCTGCTGTGGCTCCCTTGAGCTTAGACAAAAATAAGAAGGAAATAAAATAAAAATATTTGAAGGACTATTTATATTTTGTTGCACGGTTGAAAATGTTTCGTATCTTGTGTTTTGAGGTGATACTGTGGGTGTTTCTCAATCGCGAGTAAAGCTGCTTCAGAGCCACTATTTCAAGCATACTACGTCATCGAGTGCCGCCGAAGTACTGTTCCAATCTCCAGCATACTTGGAAATCTACCGAGCCCAGCGTACTCCGTTTGGAGAAATATCGAGTCTGCACATGAGTAGACTTCGCCGTCTTAAAATCCCCACAATGCTTTGCGCACGGACCAATTTCCCCAAATCTGTGGTGGAAGATGTAAGGCGGGGCCTCTCATATGACGCACACCTGCACACTTGCTAGCCTGTTCCACTCTTCGTTTTCCGAATGGCAGGAAGTATTCTTGACTCGCTTCTGAAGCAAGATGCTCGGCAGACATGTGCTACCAAGCAAGCGTACTCGCGATTGAGAAACACCCACGAAGTGTGGAACACGCTAGCAAGTGTGCAGGTGTGCGTCATATGAGAGGCCCCGCCTTACATCTTCCGCCACAGATTTGGGGAAATTGGTCCGTAATTGGTAATTAGGTCAACTAAAATATGCGTCACATCCTGCTACGGTCCCGCGCCAGCGCCTTTTCTTGCAGGTGAATAACCTGACCCCCGGCTCGATGAGCGAACTATGGATACATTCTGCGTGGACAGAGTTATCTGCTTTCACAGCCAACGATGCTGGCTTACCAGTATGTTTGATATGTAGAGAGAAGTTGTCAAAGGTGCTGCAGCCTTTACGTATTGGCAGTGGCGACTGGTCATTAGGGGCAGGTGGGGCACAGCCCCACCTAGTGTCAGCAGAAAGTATTACAAATAATGATTACAAAAATGCAAAAAAATAAATAAAAAAATATATAAAATATATTTTAAGATCATGTTTAATCATCTGATTCGTCTGTACATTGCTGTTTTAGTCTGTCTTCTTCTAATTAGTGTGTCTACAGTCACAGTGTGTGCCTATTGAGCTGTTTAGAGCCATGTGGGACAAAACCTGATTATGCCCCTTCCTCTCGCTGTGAAGTGAACGTGACTGTAAAAACTACACTGCGCATGCTCAGAGTATTTTGTAATGTAATGTGTGTGGCAAAAAAATAATGACCAGAGGGGCACGGAGCTACCATCCCCACCATACGTCATCTCAAATCATTCAGAGCTGATTGGCTGTAAGTACGTGTGCCGCGAAAAGTGTGCTGTGTGAAGAGGAGACGAGAGAGCTGCAGTGGCGCGTCCTAAAACCAGGAAGTAAGCACAAAAAAGCAATGAGATTTCTCCAGAGGATTTTAGAAAATAGCTCGAAATAAGATCTGTGGGAAACGTACCTGTTAGATAAATGCACGTTTTGATTAGCCGGATAACATCCACATGTCTACCCTACTTTTATAATTTTTTTATCATAAATCTATGGATTAGATTTATGATAGACTTTTGAAACTACAAGAAGATAAGGAGGACTTTTACAAAAAAGTAATAGAAATGTTTGTCCAGAAGAATAGGAAAATGGACTTCATCTTCAAGTCAAGGTAAGACCGCCATTTTATTGAAAATGGGATCTTACTAAGAGAGAACAATTCAATATTTAAATGATAAAATTACATTTTTTGGGTATCCTTTTGTTGAACTGTCTGTTTAAAATTAATCGAAGCATCAGACAAAAAAAGCTTTTGAAAATAATATTATATTTTGGTTTAGGTCAAAATATAATATTTGTAAACCTGAAGAGTCAGTGCCAGTGCCTCAGCAGCCATGAACCTCACTGCACGTCACTGCAGAAGCTTATATATAGACATCTAAGTTTTTTGTGCCCCACCACTTTTGTACATATAAAAACGCCACTGCGTATTGGAGGAAAAACACGGAAGAGGAAGACAGCTGACGATGTTCAGTCATAATTCAATCACAACTATTTTTAGGGTGCAGCTATATGTTTTATTTATTTCAAAGTGGGCCCATTTTAATTATATTCATTTTCTTCAAATGTGCAGAGGACTCCCCAAGTGCTGTGTTGATTTATTTTAAAGTAGGCCTGTGTATTTTTTTAATTCTCCTTACAGTATAAGAGTTCTTTGTTTCTTATTAGAGGTTAACAGTTTTATAATGTAATAAATAATAAATGCAAAAAAACTGTAGTTTTTGTCTATGATGTAACAATATATCCAACTTTATAAGCTATCAAGCTATCAAATATGTTTTGCGGCTCCAGACAAAAAAGATGTGTGGAAAAGGGGGCAAAATGGCTCTTTTGGTCAAAAAGGTTGCAGACCCCTGATATAGAGCGTTCACACTCCTTACTGCATTCATACTTAATCTTGAATTCTTGTGTAAGATATCTGCATATATTTACAATATGAATGAAATTCCTTGGGACATGTGTCATTTTAATTGTAGTCATTGACATTACCTTCACCCAGAAATATATTTGATATGCTTACTTTAAACCTAAGCGTCTGTGACCTAAAAATCATCAAATAAGTGTATTCAAGTATTCTGTGTGTGTATAAAAATAGGGTATGACCATAGCCTAATTCCCACCATTTTACCTTTTTCTACTCCAACCCAAAGCTTCATTCAGTGTCTGTCACTAAGCCCATGTGTTTGTGTAGGGAGGGCCGGGCTAAGTGGGTTTAAATGGTGCTGCATTACTTCCTCTGGGAACCTGTTAATGACATAAACAGTCCCTTAAAAACAACTGCTGGATAGCAACGCAGCTCACTCTCACTTGAGAGTTAAATTCAGAGTTAAACGGGGCGTGGTTTGCATTCCACACAGCCAATCAGACGTATGAACTATTTTCTCCCACGACAGTCCCTGCTCTATAGCAGGGACTGAAAAGCGGGTCAGATGAACTAATTTGAACTACTTTAGTTCCTGGGGCTTTTTGGTGTGAACGCAAATATATCGTAGTTCTGATGAACTATTGTGGGAAAAGTACTCCGGTGTGAACGCGCCTAATGGTACTCAAGGAAACAACGAATCTAATGTTTGTGCACTAATGATGTAGACTTAGTCTATAATACCAGCAAAACCAATAACATTCCCATCAGCCTTAGCTGTATTTAGTGCTAATAAGCCAGTATTGACTATTTTCACATCATACACAAAAAAAGTTCCACCTTCTCTCCCAAGCTTGGCAAATAAAAGCTGTTACAAAAATGTTTCCCTTCCTTATTTTTTTTTCATCCAAAATAAATCAGTGTAAATAAAGGTTATTTGACTAAATCAGTACATCTCTTACATCCTTTTGGACAGCTCTCTCTTATCGACACAAAGTAATGCTGACAACTTTAGTAATGTTTTCTTCATTTTATTAAAGCAATGAATCTTCCAAATACATGCATCATTGGTCATCTTTTTTTTTCAGTGCATAATTTCTTCTATACTTTGGACAGCAGATAAAATAATTAGTATCTTTATAAATGTTATATATTACAAAGACTTTATGAATGTATCAATAAATGACACATAAATCATTTGATGTTTAAAATCAACAAATTCTAAATATGATAATAAAGCAAGAAAGGGTGTAAGAGTAACAGCTAAAGCGCCAATGATATTTCAAATTAAAAACAGATAACATCTTAATTTCTGACATTTTAACACATTAGGTTTCATACTTTATAACAATATTGCCATGTAAGACTGTAAAATATCTACCAAAGGCACCAAGAATGTGAGTCTTACATTTCCTATTATGTTCACAGTGATGGATTTCTGCAGCAGGACTGAAATCTATCAGGCGTCAGTGTATAGAGGCGAGCTCCAGAGACCCTGCATCAAACCGCAGCTTGTTTCCTGCTAGTGGTTTGTAAATACAAATAAACAAGTCAGATTAGAATCCAAAGATACTCTAGAGCTTTCCGTGTGTTACAAAGGCCCGGGAGTGAATGACGTCTGTTAGGGGCTGCGTGAAAGAGTCAGGAACTCTTCCCGGGTTTTGGGGTCGTCCAGGTAAACCCCCAACATGGTGCTCGTCACTGTGCGGCTGTTCATCTTCTGCACACCACGCATGACCATACACATGTGCCTGCAAACACACACATGTCACAATCAGATTTGCAGCTACAGCATTGAGGAGAGGCTTAGACCTTAAAAATGTGTATTAAGTGGAAGAGCTGTTTCCGATTTCATTATGCTGATAATGGAAGTAGTGTGTTTGTGTGTGTGTACTTACGATGCTTCAATAACCACAGCTACACCTTTTGGCTGCAGAGCCTCTGATATTCCCACAGCAATCTGCTTGGTAAGACGCTCTTGAACTGAAACAATAACATATATGTAAACATCATGACACCAGATGCATTCAAATTATTCGGTAAACTACAAGAAAAGTGCTGTAATTAAATGCAAATACTATTATATTGCATATTTCTTTGGGAGCTTACCTTGAAGCCTACGACTGAAGATCTCTACAATCCTGCAGAAAGCAAAAAGAAGAGCAGTGATTACAGATCCGGCGTAATAATGATTAATCGTTTGATAAACACGGAGTGGTAACAGTCCAGAGGCCTGTACTACGAAGCCGGATTTTCGCTTAGCCGGCTGACTTCAGGGAAAACTCTGCTTTTCCAGCTATGTGGCTTTTATCCTGGATAAAGTGTTTAAGTCATGGATGTTTAAAGTTTAACTTCTTCATATTTGACTAATATTAAAGTTCACTTTTCATTCAGGAAGTATGACGCTGCGCTGTCAGTACGCTTGTCCATGTTTGAGATTGGTCGAATGCTCCAGATACCACCCCTTTCATGTGAACGCGCACCTAACTAGATAGGACACGGCTGGCTTGAGCGATCCACTTGATAACCAGCGTCGTAGTACAGTTTAGCCAGAGCGTTGTTACGACTGGGGCACACACAAAAATGATAGGACCCAAATGCACGACTCCAGACAAAAGATGATTCAAAAAAGGATTTACTTGTGGCGATATTACAATATAATACAAAAACGCTCAAAAGACTTCTCAAAAGCTAACCTAAATTCACTGTAGCACAGAACACAACTGGCTGACAGGCATCACAAGAATCAAAACGATCTGGCACTTGGCACAGAGAAAACAAGGAATAAATACACATACAAGGGACTCCACAGGTGCAAACAATAAGGGCGGGGCAGGTAATCAGGTCAATTGGCACACCTGACCAGGTAGGAGTCAAACTACCTGAAATTAGAGAAGGATCTCACAAAGTAAAACAGGAAATGACAGACAACAAAAAAGGGTTGGCAGACGCGGACTTGACAATATGAACTAAACAGAGAAATAATACTAACAAATCTGGCGAGACACAACAGTACCCCCCCCTCTACGGCCGACTCCGGACGGCCCAGAGTCCTGTGGATTTAGCCTGAAAAAGTCATTTATCAGGCTCTGATCCACAACGAAGCTTGCTGGTACCCACGACCGATGTTCTGGACCATATCCTTTCCAGTCTACCAGGAACTGTCGGCCACGTCCTCTCTTCCTGACTGCTAGCAGTTTCTTGACGTCGTAGATCAGACCGCCGTCTAACATCCGGGGGGGAGGAGGGGGCTTGGTTGGAGGAACCAAACGACTCTCACGAACCGGGTTTGACTTTAGCAACATGAAAGGTAGGATGAACTCTCAGGGACCTGGGCAGGCGCAGGCGAACAGCCACCGGGTTAATAACTTTGGTTATGGGAAACGGACCCACAAACCTCGGAGCCAGCTTCCTGGAGGCCACACATAGGGGTAGATCTCTCGTAGATAGCCAAACCTTCTGCCCGGGTCTGTAGGCAGGTGCAGGACGACGATGTCGATCTGCTGCTTTCTTCATGCGAGCAGCACTCTTCAGGAGAATCTGGCGGGCTCCTGCCCAGACTCTGCGACACCGCCTCACCAGAGCATGTGCTGATGGGACAGTCACTTCCTTCTCTACTTCTGGAAAAAGAGGAGGTTGGTAACCATAGGCGCAGTGAAAGACCCGGGGAGAGACCCGTGGCAGATGTAGGTTGGGTGTTGTGGGCATACTCCACCCATATCAGCTGCTTGCTCCAAGTTGTGGGATTCTGGGACACCAGACACCTTAAACACGTCTCCAGTTCCTGGTTGATCCTCTCTGATTGACCATTAGCCTGTGGGTGGTAACCAGATGTGAGGCTGGCAGTGGCTCCTATCAGGCTGCAGAATTCCTTCCAAAACTGGGAAACGAACTGCGGCCCACGGTCTGACACCACATCTCGAGGAAAACCATGCAACCTGAAAACATGAGATAAAAGAGCTTCTGCTGTCTCTTTAGCAGAGGGCAATTTAGGCATGGGGATAAAGTGAGTCATCTTGGTAAATCTGTCCACAACAGTGCAGATGGTGGTGTTACCTGCAGAGGGCGTCAGTCCAGTGACAAAATCCAGCGAGATGTCAGACCATGGGCGGCTTGGAATGGATAAAGGTTGCAGTAGACCCATGGGAGACTGGGTAGAGGTCTTATTCCGAGCACAGGTAGTGCAGGCTGCCACATACTCAGTTACTTCCTTCTCCATTTTAGGCCACCAAAACCTTTGTTTTATCATGTACATAGTTCTTTTAATACCTGGATGACATGTTAGTACAGACGTGTGAGCCCAGTGAATCACATCAGAGCGGACAGATGGGGGAACAAAGAGACGGTTAGGAGGACCTCCGCTGGGTACAGTTTTTCCCTCTAATGCTCGGTTTACCTTAGCCTCAACTGGCCATGTCACCCCTCCTATTACCCGAGTGGGTGGTAGAATGGATTCGGTCTCCTTGGAAAGGGCCTCTGGGTCAAAAAGCCTGGATAACGCGTCAGGTTTGGTGTTCTGTGAGCCAGGACGGTAGGAGAGAGTGAAGTTAAACCTATTGAAAAATAAGGTCCATCGTGCCTGTCTGGAGTTTAACCTCTTAGCCTTGCGTATGTACTGCAAATTTTTGTGGTCTGTCCACACAATAAATGGCTGTCCTGCCCCCTCTAGCCAGTGCCTCCACTCATCCAGTGCTACCTTCACGGCTAATAACTCTCTATTGCCTACATCATAGTTTCTTTCAGCAGCAGACAATTTACGTGAAAGGTAGGCACACGGATGGAGCTTACTGTCTTTCTCTGCCCTCTGTGAGAGGACCGCCCCGATGCCCTCGTTGGAGGCATCCACCTCCACCGTGAACTGTCGTTGAGGATCCGGGATGGTAAGTATTGGAGCTGTTGTAAACACCTTTTTTAACTTCTGGAAAGCTTGGTCTGCCTGTGGAGTCCACACAAACTGAACAGAAGGAGAGGCGAGTACATGCATAGGTGCGGCAATAGAACTAAAATTCCTAACAAACTTCCTGTAGAAGTTTGCAAATCCAAGGAACTGTTGGACTTTTTTCCTGGAAGAGGGTGTGGGCCAATCAGCCACAGCGCTCACTTTAGCAGGATCCATCATTATCTGGTCAGGACCCAGGATGAAACCCAGAAATGAAGTGGAACTGACGTGGAACTCACATTTTTCAGCCTTTACATAAAGTTGATTGTCCAACAACTTCCTTAATACTTGGCGAACATGAGGAACGTGTGAATCCTCATCACGGGAAAAAAATCAAAATATCATCAAGATAGACAAAAACAAAATGATTCAAAAACTCCCTCAACACATCATTTATGAGAGCCTGAAAAACTGCAGGTGCGTTTGTTAGACCAAAAGGCATTACCAAATATTCATAATGTCCGCTTGGAGTGTTAAAACCAGTCTTCCACTCGTCCCCCTCCCGTATCCTTACTAAGTGGTAAGCGTTACGCAGGTCTAGTTTTGAAAAAACTCTAGCACCTTTCAAAAGTTCAAACGCTGAGGCCATAAGCGGAAGGGGGTACCTGTTTTTTATGGTTATGTCGTTTAGAGGGCTGTAGTCGATGCAGGGTCTCAGGGATCCATCCTTCTTCTCGACGAAGAAAAAACCAGCTCCGGCGGGAGATGACGAGGGACGGATGAGGCCCGTTTTGAGAGAGCCGTCTATGTACTCCCTCATAGACTCTCTCTCTGGAGCAGAGAGAGAGTACAGTCTTCCCTTGGGCAAGGGGGACCCAGGCAGGAGATCGATGGCGCAGTCATAGGTGCGATGAGGAGGAAGGGAAGTCGCTTTAGTCTTATTGAACACCTCCTTGAGATCTCGGTAGCAGCTGGGCACGTTCGAAAGGTCGGGGAAGTCTGAGTCTTGGCTACTTTCATCTTCCATGTCAGTGTCTATAATGGGCTCTCTCACAGTTTCAGCAGTTTTTTTCCTGAAACACGAATGAGAACAGTCGCTTCCCCACCCCAAAACGTTACCAGTCCGCCAATCAATGTGAGGGTTATGTCTACACAACCAGGGATAGCCCAGAATTACTGCATGTTGTGCAGAATCAAACAGATGAAAAGTCATATGCTCTGTGTGGTCATGATCAATAGTTACTTTAAGAGGCATGGTTCTATGAGTCACTTTGCACATGAGAGTACCGTCAAGAGCGCTAGCCTCAAGTGTCTGAGTCAAAGGCACGGAGGCAATTTTCAAACGTTTAGCTAACCATTTAGCTAGTCCATTAAATTAGCGTCAGCCCCTGAATCTACTAGTACTTTCAAACATATGCTGTGCTCATTATTACTAACCTCTACTTGGGTCATGGAACGTGAAGGAAAATCTGCGGTTGTCAGTCGGCTCACCAGCACCCTCCGTCTTACTGGTGAGCCCCGTCTTTTAACGGGCAGGCTCCCAGGAAATGTCCCTGCTTCCCACAGTAGAAACATAAACGGTCCCGGAGACGCCGCTGCTTTTCCTCGGGAGACAGCCTGGCCCTTCCGAGCTGCATGGGTTCCTCTTCTGTGGTCCACGAAGCAGGTTTCACGGTAGAGGAGGAATAGTGGGTACGAAATCCGGGCCGTCGTGGAGACCGTGCAGGAGGTGAGCTTCCTCGTTTGGCTAGCGGAGGTGACGCTTTCCTGGCTTTCTCCCTCCGTCGCTCTTGCAGCCGAGTGTCTGTGCGTATAGCCAAGGCGATCATACTGTCCAAATCCGGCGGAAGATCAAGAGGAACAAGAAGATCCCGCACACAGTCACTGAGTCCGCTGAGAAACATATCATATAGTGCGTCTTCATTCCATCCACTGTCCGTGGCCAAAGTGCGAAAGTCAATGGCGTAATCAGACACACTCTGATTCTGCTGGGAGATCTGTGTCAGGGCTCTGGCAGCTTCTCTCCCCGGTGTGGTTCGGTCAAAGATTTTTTTTATAGTCTCAATGAACAGTTGTAATGATTTACACACCGGAGAGTTCCGTGCCCACTCCGCCGTAGCCCAGGCTTCCGCTCTTCCCGTGAGGTGGGACACAATGAACGCCACCTTGGCTGAATCGCTGGGGAAAGCAGCAGGCAGGCAGGTAAAATGCAGGTCACACTGAGTTAGAAAAGGACTGCAATTACCAGACTCGCCTGAGAACTTCGCAGGAGGAGCAAGACGAATCATGGAATTTGGCACGAGAAAATCAGCTGTAGTCTCTGGGGCTGGGGCAGCCACGTCGGAAGAAGCGGCGGGCACACTATCCAAATGAGTGAGTATATTATGGAACTGTTCAGCCAGACGATTGATCTGCGTCGTAACCGCACCATGAAACTCACTCTGGCTGTCAGTCAGGGCCTTCACTCCCTGGTTTATGCCCGTCATGTCCTCCTCCTGCTGCCGCAGGCGTTGAGCCTGAGATAAGAGCGCTGCTCTCAGGGTTTGAAAGTCGGCTGAGTCCATTTGTTGGCCAGATCGTAATGTTACGACTGGGGCACACACAAAAATGATAGGACCCAAATGCACGACTCCAGACAAAAGATGATTTACTTGTGGTGATATTACAATATAATACAAAAACGCTCAAAAGACTTCTCAAAAGCTAACCTAAATTCACTGTAGCACAGAACACAACTGGCTGACAGGCATCACAAGAATCAAAACGATCTGGCACTTGGCACAGAGAAAACAGGGAATAAATACACATACAAGGGACTCCACAGGTGCAAACAATAAGGGCGGGGCAGGTAATCAGGTCAATTGGCACACCTGACCAGGTAGGAGTCAAACTACCTGAAATTAGAGAAGGATCTCACAAAGTAAAACAGGAAATGACAGACAACAAAAAAGGGTTGGCAGACGCGGACTTGACAATATGAACTAAACAGAGAAATAATACTAACAAATCTGGCGAGACACAACAAGCGTGTATGTTTTGGATTGGGCCAACCGGCTAACTCAAACATATCCAGGTTAGGTTGAACCAGCTTCGTAGTACAGGCCTCTGGCCTCTACTCTGGCTGTCTAACTGTACAGACCCTACTGTACATCTGTGAATGATTCACCCTACGGAACTCTCTGAATTTGTAGTGCAAGACTCAACTGCAAGCTTTTCTAAGAAACCCAACGACACTGTTGCTGTTATTCTGGGTTTGTATATTCAGAGATGGTGTGATATTTTAGGAAAGGGAGAAAGAAGGTGACCGATATAGAGGCTGTGATAATAACTGGTGATTCCCACAGGTCTGAAGGGATTTTCTCATGGCTCGAGAGCGGATAGAGTTCAGACTTGTGTCTGATGAGGGGACTGGATGATGGCCACTGGGCTTAGACTTAATCCTCCAGGTCAATGCGCTGAAATAACAGAAGAACGCAGCCAGCCTGCAGTAACACCAGAAACATACAGTGTGTGTGTGTGTGTGTGTGTGTGTGTGTGTGTGTGTGTGTGTGTGTGTGTGTGTGTGTGTGTGTGTGTGTGTGTGTGTGTGTGTGTGTGTGTGTGTGTGTGTGTGTGTGTGTGTGTGTGTGTGTGTGTGTGTGTGTGTGTGTGTGTGTGTGTGTGTGTGTGTGTGTGTGTGTGTGTGTGTGTGTGTGTGTGTGTGTGTGTTACCTTGCCAGCTTGCTCAGTCCCACCACTCTTTTGTTGGGAATGTACCCGATGTGAACCTAGAGAGAGATGACAGCCAGTGAGTGCAGGGGTCACATAATCAAAATCAGGTTTATTGCCAGGTAGGTTCGCACATACTAGGAATTTGACTTGATGTCATGGTGCATACATAAAATATAAAAAACAAGAAATCTAATATAAAACACAAAATCTTTTACAACGTAATCAAAGGATGGCAAATATTAGCAATTCAAATGCTGACCTTACATGGCTTAGAAACCCAATTTAATGATGATCCAATATTTGCTGTTAACCCACTAACACTCCACATGCTTTGTCTTACCTTGCCAAAAAATGGCACCAGGTGATGTTCGCACAGTGAAAACACGTCTATGTTCTTCACAATCACCATCTCATCATGGTCTTCGTCAAATATGGCGTTGTTTAAGATATCTGGGGACACAAACACACAGGTTTTAAAGAATATCCACTTAAATATCACTAGAAAATCTTGTTTTTCCCACCAGCAGTCCAATTTTATTCAAAAGCCTATACTGCATTATCATATACGTGAATTACTAGACTTTTGGAACTTCTGCTGTAGAGAAAACTCCTAAACCCTAAATCAAATAAGGTGTTTATATACAAATGAAAATGTTCCCATCACAAACTACAGCTTTTTCCAGGTGGAATCAACAAAACTGCATTTCAGTTTGCAGGGTGTTGTATTTGCAGTGCACTTTTCTCATTAGTAAGATAAAAACAAGACCATACTACATTGGTGACTGTGTTATAAAACCACCCTGCATCCTCGAGAGAAAAGCCCCCCACAGAAGGACCTGTTGACTCACCTTCGATGGTCTCGTGGTAGCCCTTGGTGAGGAACTGCATAGCCTTGGCGGCGCGCAGCGGCGTGCGCAGCAGCCCCTGCCGGTCCGTGTCCTCCCCCAGCTCCCGGAGGATGCTCGTGTAGGCGGCCTCGAGCGCAGGTAAGCGGGACTGGTCCTCGTCCTTTTTGCGGGACGTCTCGTGCTTGCGGTGCACGACGGACTTCTTGCTGTCGATGAGGAGGTCGCTGTTGTTACAGTGGAACTCCTCCACGGTGTCGTTGACCTTTACGTTGCAGTGGCCGTTCATGTTGGAGTTGTTTATTTGGTGTGTTTAACTCTGGAAACAGAGAGCTGAGAAGAGTCCTGGAGTTGAGATACTGTGCAGGTCTGGAGAGATAGTCCTGGAGTTGAGATACCGTGCAGGTCTGGAGAGATAGTCCTGTTCCCGGTGCTCACCGTATTTATAAAGCCCAAACCGGGTGCCTCGTGTGCATCGATCGTCAAGGTGCCGCCTTGACATTAGTTTCGTCAGCAGGTTGAATGTCATCACAGAGAGCCCCCCCTCTTGAAACCCATAGGGCATGTAGCTGAGTTTTGTTCATCACTTGACAAATCATCATTTACTCTCATTATCTTTCTTTACTGGAAATCAGACAGACCTCTTTCTGACTGCAGGCTCATGACTTCACGTGGAGCTCAGGCATTATTTATTTACAGTTATGCTAATTATGTTTCCTTTCAATTTAACCTAGAAAAAGCTTAGTTTACAGCTGTGTGTGTAATAATCCGTATATGAAATGATATACAATCAATAATTAAAAAGCAAAATCCAGGTATATTAGACATGAATAAAAACAAATCATTGATCAGTATTCAGGGATGCAAACTTGTCACCTTTCGGCGAAATTCGCCGTTTTGATTCCAAAATAGGTCGTTTGTGTGATTCATGTAGATCTGCAATAAAAAATATGTTTGGGGTATGGGGGGGGGTCTGGGACCCGGAGTAATCTGCGGCCGCGAGCTGTTATGTGCCATCATGACACGCATGGTGTTCTTTTTTTATATATTATAATGAAGCGCGAGCACAAGTCTTCCTGCCTGTCAGCTCTGCTCATGGATGTATAATAAGGCTCTGCTGCTCGGTGCGTTCGTTAATATTAACTGTGCGGGCACAGACTGGACCGCTGGTTAGAACGGGGTGTTCAGAGCAGAGCTCCCTGTTGGAGCGGCAGAGCGTGATGTGCACTGAAAAGTGTTTCTGTCCCAATATTATTTAATGAATCGTTGAGCTAGCTAACTAGCATACATGCATTCAGATCTTGTACTTGAGTAAAAGTAGAAGCACTCAGGTCTTGTACTTGAGTACAAGTAGAAGTTCTCAGATCTTGTACTTGAGTAAAAGTAGAAGTACCAGAGTGTAGGAATACTCTGTTACAGTAAAAGTCCTGCATTCAAAATGTTCCTCAAGTAAAAGTAGAAAAGTATTATCATCAAAATATAGTTAAAGTAGCGACAGCAAAAGTAGTCATTGTGCAGATTGGTCCATTTCAGAATAATATATATGATATGTTTTATAATGATTGATCATGAAAGTGTTCTCAAAGCTGGTAAAGGTGCAGCTAGTTTGAATGACTTTGTATACTGCAGGGTAGCTTGTGAATTTACTCCAGGTGGAACTAAAGTCTGATTTAACACTTGATTATATTTCACATCATTCATCCACATCTGTGAAGTAACTAAAGGTATTAAATACATGTAGTGGAGTAAAAGTACACCATTTACCTCTGAACTGTAGAGGAGAAGAAGAACAAAGTAGCAAAACATTGAAATACTTAAATAAAGTACAAGTATCTCAAAATTGTACCCAAGTATAGTACTTGAGTTTATGAACTTAGTTACTTTACTTTACTTGTGCAGAGTGCACATTCTCGAAACAAAAAATATTGCTGCGCAATACATTTTACGCTCATCAATATTTCTTTCTAAAATTGTAGGAACTTCCAAATCAAACACACTATAGTTGAAGAAATGTTGCTGCTCATTCATGAGGCTTATTCAGTTTTGCTGATAGGTTCATCATTTGAACTATCATGTCAAATGTCATTGTGAGACCTTCAAGTAACATGAAACAAGGTGTGCTAAGTGTTATTCCACATTGTGATGAATATCAGGATGGCATTTCCATTGCCATTTAAAACATTTAATTTAAAAGACTGGACTTATGTGTGTTTAAACATGTTGGGATAATATGGAAAGCCCTGCAAGGGATACAAATGACCTTTTTTCCTTAACATGACATGGATGAAATATGGATATACCCAGCACCCTTATTGTAAGAGATTGGTTAGGGCTATCTTCCCAGTTCAAACACAAGAGAGTGAAGGGAGTTGGATGTGTCAAATGCAGTTTAAATGGTAAAAATCAATTCAACCTCTGTTGAGATATGAATGTCTAATGTCTCAAAAATGTCTTCCTGAGAAATGTGAGGAAATCCCCCCCATGTAGCCATAAACCGATATTATTGACCTTCGGGAAAAGATTCACTGAGAACATAAGACTATTTTAAATGTCTCATTAATGCATCATATTAAGAGGATAGTGAGCAGAGGGACATAGGACCTTCAGTACAGATATGCTCCCCATAAAAAGTCAGGGGATCACTAAGGTCATTAAGATGTATCCTCTGCGACCATGAAGATACTGTATAAGGGTATCCAATGGATATTTCAGCCCAGAACAAAGCTCTAGAACGAGTGATAAATGGACACTATAGGGTGGTTAAAAAGTTATTGTAAGAAAAGGCAGGATGGAGGAGGATGAAACAGTGGCTCATTACATCTGAAACAAATTGTCAGTGACGGCGTGCTTACTGCTATTAACAGGGGAGAATCGGTTCTCACAGCCAATACGAACAATTGTGCTGCTGAGCTCATGACACCCTGAGCTCCTTAATGTCCATGATGGCTCAGAGCTGCCCTCCTCCTGCCCATCGTGTGTACTTACTATGGAGGTTTACAGTTCATCAATTGAATTGTTTCAATCCAAAATAGGTCACCTGATCAGAAATTGTCCTTAGTCAAATAGGATTCATTCATCTTTTTAGAGTTACAGCGAACATTTTGGTCATGCTGTCAGGTTTGGACAAACATTTAATTTAGTCCTTCACTTCTAAATGCTCACAAAAAGTGTACTTTTTTACTAAATGAGTCAGCTTGTTCCAGACATTGAATATTTAATAATAATTATATTTTTTAATAATATCTAATATTATTTTTAGATAATTAGATTTGGAAAGAAAACTCTGCTCAGTGTTTGGAGGAAGTTATATGTTTTTCAAATAAGTTGAAAAACAATGTCTTATATTACAAAAACCTCACTGTAAATAGATTTGTAAATTTGAGTTTGAAGTATTTGTGAAATATTCCCACTCTAAAAAGAAAGTTTATTTGGGAATAAATCTATTAAACAGCTAATGTGATGATAACATGACCTAACATTTAAATGTATAAGCACTACTTGTACCTTAGCGCCACTATTATAGCTTCAATACAATATTGAATACTTCCTCCTAATACATTATAAAACGTAGAAGTTGTTGATTTGATAAAAACTGTTTCTGTCATAAACTAAAAACACCTCGGGCCAAAGCTTCAGTAAAATAGAAGGTATTAGCAAAAAAACATTGCAGTCACCACCGCTAAGCTAATGGCGTCAAATGCTCGGAGTGATGACGTTTAATAGTCTCATTAAAACACCAAAAGCAACCGCCGTTTATAAATTCACCAGTGGGTTATAAACTGATATATATTCTATGTGAAAACTTTAACGAAGCAGCAGTGGATGTACGTTTCACCCTAGATTTACGATATTTGCACAGCACAAGTATCACACATTGAACAAATAAATTCAGCTATTTTGAATTTAGTTTGATTTATTTGTGTATAATTGACATCTAATGGCTCTGTACCTTAACAAATATATCCTACAGATTAAATCTGATCGACTTCACATTGGGTCTAGACCTTCTTAAGAAACACAAGTTATTAAAAGCTTTCTTTTACATGGAAAGCCCTAGCCGTTGCGTCGCCGCCATTTTGAGACACTCGCCATGAAAGAGGAAGTTGTTGAAACTTGAGAGTACTCCAAACTGCTCCAAATGTATTGTGCTTGATAGAGTCTCGGCCTAAGGACTTTGACAGGTCATATATTGAGTCATGGTGGTCATAGTGCCAAGGTTCACAATACCTAATTTTCAGACCATCACAAGTAATATTCACGTGTGGCAGGTCTTCAGCGGTCATGGCCATTCACTGCCGTGTCAACAGGCGTTCTAACAATTATGCAGTCCCTGTATTTAACACAGTATCACTGTTGTTCTACAAACAAACACAAGACGTTAGTATTGAATGGTTGCTGATGACATTATTCATGCAGTTTCTTGGAAACTTAAAGGCTGCATGGGTTTTCACTGATCCTCGAAAAGGGAGCAGATGTGTCACGTAACTCTCACATGCAGGCATGAAATTAACCTTCATGTTTTGCCCTTTTTATTTAAAAGAACAAAACACTTATTGTCCCCACAGCTGACGAATTATATAATTTCTTTGACTGCACTCAAAGTCCTTTAAGAACTTCAAACATTCTTTTAATTTTGTCCATGTCAGTTGTAAAACTAACATACATATGCAAACGATTCATAATACACAATATAATCATTTCGCTTTAAACATGTAAGATGCCAAAATGATGATGTTGTACATTTAAAAATCCATACTTTTTTAATGAGAAATATTCAAGACAAAATAGGCTTATAAAAAGTAAAAATGCTAATATGACTTCTTCAAACAATCAATGCATGAATCAACACACTGCGATACAGTAGCAGGCTGTATGCAAACAATCAATGCATGAATCAAAACACTGCGATACAGTAGCAGGCTGTACGCATAGTTTACGTTGCTTTGCAATCCACAAACAACCCCAAAGAAGAAGAAGAACGTAGTTAAAACCATAGATATATATAAAACACTAGATGACTCACCTGCGCTGCTGGCCAATGGAGACCGACGTTGCCACATGGCCGCCATCTTGCTACAGGCAGTGCTCTCATTCATAACATTATGGTTTACTATTTAAATAACCATAGCTTGCTCAATTTTCAACCAATTTTCAAACGGTTTGGTTTTTTATAAACATCAAATATGTAGTTATGATACTGCATACTTATAATCATGGACTTTCATATGAAAATAACATTAAGCAGATAAAGCAATAGCTATACACACACACACACAAGGTATTTATATTAAATATTTGCCGGTGTATATATTTCCATTTATTTTATTATATTGTTAATATTTAAAATAAATTATAAAATTAATATATATTTATATTTTATATATAAAAATCGGTCTCATGTTACCACTCTGTAAGCCAAGAGTTGTTAATTTAGCAATGCCTTAGCTTGAAGAACAGGGACACAACTAATGACAATAGCATATGGTGGTATATTATTTAGATATTCACACCTTTATCAGAAGAACCAAACCAACATAAAATGAGCTCACAGACAGGCCAGTTCTGTCTCATTTATCACAATTATTTTTGACATGAGATCTTCATATCGTCCTAGTTTTGTATTTAGTTTCTAGATTTGTAAACAAATCCAGAACCTTTGAAATACGTTACCACTTCACAGCACGGTGCGCTGAGTTCTTGTAGTCGAAAAAAGCCCAAGAATAATATAAACTGTACCCTGTGTCCTTTTGTGTCCTTCTGTAGTCCATTTACTGTTGTTTGTCTTGTCTTACCCCGGCTGATATCTCACTAAATCCAGTTTTAATTGTTCCCTATATTGCCCCTATGCCCTGTAAGGTGTCCTTGGGTGTTATACGATATACTTTATTGTCCCCGTAAGGAAATTTGTTCTGGACTCCGTCCTGCAGTGCATCCATGTACATATACAAACATAGTGGACATTAAGAGACATACACATATCATCAGTCATACACCGTTTGAACAAACACAATACACACACGTACATACTGACAATGGCGACCTATTGCACAACCCTCATGGCCAACATTAAAAAAAAGTACATTTCATTACATTTGACTACATATCATTTCATGTGAATGTTAAGAAGCTTAATCGACATAGGTAGGAATGAGTGCTTATAGCGGTTATGAAAGGCGGCCCCCCAAAATAAATGTATTATTATTATTAAGAACAACAACTTGGTGTGGTTTCTATTCTCCTAAAAATGTTTTACGTTCTCCAACAGAAAACACAACTCAGCGTACTTTTAAGAAATTGATCTTAATAGGCTTGTCCCCTTATAAGGCAGAAATATGTTTTGAGGCTCTGGACAAAAATGGCTATTTTGATTGTAAAGGTTGCCAACCCCTGGGTGTAGTTTCAATGTTTGCACATGTTTATTCAAGTGTATGAGTGACATAGAGCAAGTGAGATGGCCAGTGGTTCTCAAACTTTTTACACAGAGTACCACCTCAAATGATATTGGGCTCTCCCCACCATCATAGACCTTCCTGGGTACCACCGAGATAAAGGATTTAATATGACAAGCCATATGATGCTCTCATTTGTTAGTGACATTCCACATGCAAATAAGATAAGATAAGATAAGATGGTACTTTATTGATCCCAATTTGGGAAAACATTTTTAGTTACAGCAGCATAAGGGACAAGGCATTTTACAATAAATTAGAAATAAGCAAGAAAAATAAAGAAAATAAAGAAAGAGGAAAATAATATACATGTTGAGTTTGGCAGGATATTATATATATCTAATATACATATACATAAATATAAGGCATATGGAATATTAATGTTAAAGGTGGGGTAGGTAATTTTGGAGAAACCAGCTCGAGTGCGCTTGAATTTGAAAATACACAGCCGGAAAAGATCTGCTACTTCCTTACAGAGCCCCTCCTCCAACACACACGAACGCGCACATGACCAATGAGGGCACGAGATAAGTTTGTGCACAGATGGAAGGCTGACAGGCAGGTAGGCCATCCAGTTATTTTAGCCGGGCCGGCTCAGATGATTGGTCGTGCTTTTTACAGTACTACGGCTTCCACAGATGATATTTATTTATGGATATTTTGTCAAAGCACTTAAAATATTCATTGCTATCGGGATGTTAAGAGCATTCCATGGAATATAACAAAAAGTGTATCTCGAGCCGGTTTCTCAAACTTACATACCCCACCTTTAACTATTAAATATTGAACAGATTATATATGTGTAAAATGTACAACGTGGTTATATTCAAGATAAACTATGGAGCAGAGAGTTATCTTCCAGCCAGAGGTGATTTGTTGTACAGAGTTATGGCACTGTGGAGCTGCAGCAGTCTGTTGGAGAAGGAGCTCCGTTGACTGTCCAGCTGCAGGTGGAGAGGATGGGGGGGGGTTATCCATGATGGACAACAGCCTGTTCAGTGTCCTCCTCTCCACCACAGCTTCAAAGGGGTCCAGCTTGATGTCGATGACTGACCCAGCTTTCCTGATCAGTTTATTGATCCTGCTGGTGTCACCGGCTCTGATGCTGCCCCCCCAGCAGACCGCAGCAAAGAAGAGTGCACTAGCCACCACAGACCGGTAGAAGATCTCCAGCATCTTGCTGCACACGTGGAAGGATCTCAGCTTCCTCAGAAAATAGAGTCTGCTCATCCCCTTCTTGTGCACAGCGTCAGTGTTGATCCTCCAGTTCAGCCCATTGTCTAAGTGCACTCCCAGGTATTTGTAGTCCTCCACAACAGCCACATCCTCTCCCAGAATGCACAGGGGCAGAGGAGACGTCCTCACCCTCCTGAAATCAATGACCATCTCTCTGGTCTTGGCCACATTCAGAATACTCACAACATTAGGCTGAGGTTCATCTTCCGCTCTTCTAGAAGTGGTTGTGCTTCTTGTTGCTTCCGGCTAAAATAAACATAATTAAAGACATTTTGAGTGTTTAAAATGTGCTGTAATACACAACACATTATTTATTCCTAAACTTGCAGAAAAAAAAACTAAAGTGTGACATTTAATCACATATTTATATATCAATCTTATACACCTTGAATTCTTGTTGGCCAATGATACACATACCCTTTGAAGATGAGCTGGGAAGTTGAATACTGTTGGCACAACACCATCTTTAAGCCGGACAGTCTGCCCCGTCCTGTCAAAGTCCTCACAACTGAAGTGCTCACTGCAGAGCAGTGTCCTGCCTTCTTAGGGCAGCTTCCCACTGCCTCCTCCTCTCTCCGGTTTTGGGAAACCTTAAAAACATGAGAAAGGTAGCCAGATATATCAATTATTGTCAATATTTTCCTCCCTTCTTTCCTTTAACATTAAGGGTAAGGACAAAAATACACACCGAAATTATCATATTTTTGGGGTAATTGTATGTATGTAATGTATGTATACTTTAAGAATAAGACAACCACACTAAGAGTTATAAAAAAGGTGTCCAAAAGAAACATTAAATAATTGTGTAAAGAAATGGTAGCAACATATTCTAAAGAGGCTGGGTCAACAACAATCTTGCAATACTATTATCTCACATAGCCCCACTGATCCTGTGTAGCAGAACTTGTAATGTACATACATCCACTAAGTAATTAACGATTATCCTAATTATAGTCATAATATTGTCATATCTTACACGTGAAAGGTGATTCCACGGGTTCTTGTTTCCCGACTGCGGCGATTAGACCATCCGTAGGCTGCACAAAAGTCCGGCATAGTCAGGTACTTCTGTAAACACAAAGCCAGCAATTTCCTGTATCATAATGTATCTAAATGTAAGATGTTTTTCACAAGCCAAACCACTTGGAAGAAATCATGTGTAACTTAAGTTATGTTGAAAAGAAAGAGCAGTTCTGCCTCTCCCACTGGTGTAAAGTTGCTGGGTCAACTTTGTAATACTAGGTCTCACTCACAGCCCTTGTTATTAGCCAGCTAATAAATACAACCACACATACATAAAGAAAAGCTGCAATTTCAACATGTCCAAGCATCCTGTATCATAGCCATGCTAATAATGTTTATAATAAACCAAACCGTTTGTAAATCAGTCACGATTTCAGCGAGTTAAGAGTATTTTTGTGCAGATCACTCACCTTACAACAGCTACCATAGCGCGTACCAGAGTAGCTGTTGACTGTAGCAAGATGGCGGCCGGTGAGCTACGCTGGAAAATCTCCCATGAGCCATCTAGTGTTTATATATATCTATGGTTAAAACTGCCAGGTCAAAAAAACAGTAGAATATGTTTTTCTGTTTTGTGACAAATACAGACAAGAAAGACAAACTCTGAAGACAGAAATCAGGAAGCTTGGAGTGGAACAACCAACACTCAAAGATATATTAGACATTGGGTCAGGGAGACTTTTATAGTATTTAAGACAAACTCAATAAATAAAGACAACTAAACATTTTTCTTTTCTTTCTTTATTCTTTTTTGGGGGTAGGTAGATCATTCTGGTCCACACTCCAATACAGTAGGTGGCGGTAATGCACCTATAACGCTGGTTGCCACGCGCCATAAAACCGTATAAAGAAGAAGAAGAACGTAGTTTCCGGTTTGGCCACAGTGGTGGCGGGAGATTCCAGCATGGCGGTGCAACCGAAACACAACCTGTCTATGGACAGTGCAGCCGAAAGTGGCTTTCTAAGCTTTATTTTCTCCATGCCGGAGAAACCGGACACAACTTTCAGAATATTTGACCGTAATGACTTCTACACTGTCCACGGAAAAGATGCAGTATTCGCGGCCAAGGAAGTTTTCAAGACGAATGGGGTCATCAAATATTTGGGCTCAGGTAACCTAACCACTAGCTAGCTAACCAAGTAGCTGGAGCCTGCAGACTGGCGGCTGCAAGCTAACAGTTGTAGATGCAAGCTAAGCTAGCTAACTTACAAATGCATGTATTAGCCACACCTTCTGCCACATTAGCTAAAGAGCTTTGCATAACATGTGGGCAAACAGTTGTTTTAAAACTAATATGGGCGTGTTTGTCTACAGGGAGTCGCAAGTTGGAAAGTGTCTGCCTGAGCAAGATGAACTTCGAGGCCTTTGTGAGAGACTTGCTGCTGGTGAGGCAGTACAGAGTGGAAGTTTACAAAAACCACAGCAAGAGCAGCAAAGACTGGAAGCTCGAGTACAAGGTATCGTGATGACTACCGATGACATGTCTGTGTGCCCAGTCTCTTTGTCCCCGAAGTGCAATTGGTTTTGCAGTGTGCCACATCAAACAAACATAGATAGCATTCATCAGGGTAACGCAGACTCAGCAGTAGTGCATGAATGAAGAAGCATAATAATCAGAACAATACATTATGAAATCCTTCCTCCCCTAGTTATATCGAGATCAAATAAACCAAAAACAACATAATCAGAGATCAACATAAGCATAAAGTATGACCACCATTACATTACATTAAAAGTCGACGTCTTTAGAATCCAAGCATAGACAGAAAATTAATCAAATATTAATCAAATATCCTTGATATACACACACCTGCTTGTGTGTGTATATATATACACACATATACTCTTGTAAAGAATATATATATATATATACTCTTTACAAGAGTATATGTGTGTGTATATATATATATATATATATATATATATATATATATATATATATTATATGTATGAATCCACTTAAATACTTTGATCACCCTAATAAGGGCGTCTTAAAGTGTTAAAAGACGTCAAACATCTTTATAAATCTTCAGATCTTGAACAATTTTACAAAGCAATTAATTAATATCCTTCTCAAAAGCCATTGCTTAAACACTGGCAACGTGAAAAGGGTTTCTGTGCTTTACCAATAATTATAGTAAGTTTCGTCTCATTGTGTATTTGCCAGAAATTTCCCTCAAGATTTGGTAGAGACTAAAAACTGAGTTAAGATGCTCTGTTATTGCTTGATGTCTTTGTTAGCCACTGTTCGCTAACAAAAGATGATAATATGACAATGTTGGTTCACCACTTAAGTTATTGTAGGGAAGGTTTGTTTCTCTGTTTTTATATCTCTTGCCTGTGGTCCATATGCCCATTTTCTTCCCTTTCAGGCCTCTCCAGGAAACTTGACTCAGTTTGAAGAGATTCTGTTCGGCGGGGGAACCGGAGCAGTGGGGGGTGCAGGAGTTGTAGCCGTGCGTGTTGCTACAGGAGCTGACGGACAGCGCGTGGTCGGGGTTGGCTATGTGGACGCTGCCCAGAGGACGATGGGAGTGTGTGAGTTTCCTGACAACGAGATCTTCTCCAACCTGGAGTCTCTTCTTGTCCAGATCGGCCCCAAAGAGTGTCTCTTGGCCCAGGGCGATGGCAACACTGACAGCAGTAAACTACGGCAGGTATGTGGTGGTCAGGGACTGATGACAGCAAAACCTCTGCCCTCCATCTTAAATATGGAGCATATAGTCACTCACTTAGGAAGTCTAAGTGAGTGACTATATGCTCCATAAATATAAAAAACTGTTCATTAATATTTAAGCTTCTGCAGCTTTTGTATTGTAGCCTATGTATGAGAAACTCCCATAAATGTATACGTCTCAAAAAAGCAAAAAATAAATCCGCTGCAACAAAAATAATTATTATAAAATGGGAGAAAATGCCCATAATAATTGCCAAGACCAGATTTTGTATGTCTTGTCCAATCAATTTCGAAGTCTAACTGGATCTTTCCAATATATTTAATGTATTCATTTTTTTACGCCCACTAACAGTATAGGCAGAAATAGGTTGTGAATGCATGTGCAATTACGGTGTGAAGACATCGTTGTTATTCTGTGTTTGTGTAGGTGGTGGAGAGAGGCGGCGTGCTGGTCTCTGAGAGAAAGAGAGCGGAGTTCAGCAGCAAAGACACGGTCCAGGATCTGAACCGGCTGCTGAGGGCCAAGAAGGGAGAGAGTGTGGCGAGCAGCACGCTGCCGGAGCTGGACAAACAGGTGATCACATAGAAAGAGCTCTCCTACACTCAAGGAGTTAGAAACCCAACAGCACCACATACATTACTATAGATTCTGTTGCATGATGTTTTTCCCAGGAGAAATTATAATTATAATCTTGCAAATTCCCTCGTAGTGTAACAAAACAAGAAATAAATGAGTAAGCAAGCATTCTGAACTTGTACCCAAGTGCACTGAACAGGACAATCTGATCCTTAATATTCAGATTTCTTAGATAATAAGCCCATGGAACATATAAAACCTTTTGACAACTGTTGACCCACGAGTATCCAGTACAAGATAATGTAAATGCCAGATTTGGCTACTGTAAAATCTCTATTTATCTTCCAAGCGCTTGATATCCCCTCTCACTTATGGTAGTCTGTGTGTGGTTTTGTTCTCAGGTGGCCATGTCGTGCTTGGCTGCAGTGGTGCGTTTCCTTGAGCTGCTCTCTGACGAGTCCAACTTTAACTCCTTTAGTCTGACCTCTCTGGACCTGGGTCAGTACATGAGGCTGGACAACGCTGCCGTCAGGGCTCTCAACCTCTTCCAGGTCAGTGACAGGAGCCAGGTCTTCAAGGCTTTCACCCAATTAACTTAAGAAGCTAGAAACTACAGAAAGGGTCAGGGAATCCAAATCACAAAAGAACAATTCTTTGTCTTACCTGTCATGCATGCAGTTTGGTTTGACAAGGGTTTATTTCACATATCTATCAACCTTATACCTGTGGATACAATGGAGGTAAAAAAGGAATTCCACATTTTAAGTTGAGTTTTGTAATGTGAGCGTCTAACAGCGTTATACGCAGACAAAGTTTAAGTCTGCAGCTTAAACTATGTACTTTTTAGATTTTGAGTGCAGACCAAATTCACAAACTCAACAAGGAAGCATTGTGCCTCTGATTGGCTTCTTTCCCAAAGCCACAGAGCTCATGGTGTGACTAGAGATGTCCTGCATGCCATAATTGGCAGACGGAACATTATTTCTCAAGAGAAAGTTGAAATCTTTAAGCCTTGTGGTCATGAAATGAAAACTACCCAGGATAGTGTGTACTGAGCCTCGTGTGTTGCCGCTGCTGGAGCATTATATATTGGTGAGGCTGTGCTTATGCTAATGATGCTAATGATCAAAAATGTGTTTTAATTGTTGTTTTTTATCCCAGGGATAAACATGTGTTATAGAAACCCTGGGAAATGTGTATTATCCTTACCTGTTAATGGATTCCTGCAGGGAGCCCCCGATGACACAAGTGGAGCTCATTCATTGGCCGGTCTGTTGAACAAGTGCCGCACGCCGCAGGGTCAGCGGCTGGTCAACCAGTGGATCAAACAGCCTCTCATGGACAAAACCAAAATAGAGGAGAGGTAATACAGCGATGGGACCAAACTGTCGAGACCAAAGATTTCTTCATGTTCTGAGGCGTATTTGAATGCGTTAGTCTTGGCAGAATTGAAGCCCATCACCTCTGTTTTCTCACCAGTGGATCACCTCACGTCTGTTCAGTGATTTAAGCTACGTAATATAATATGAATGAACCAGGACCTTCAGTTTATAGATCAAGAAGCTGTTGAAAGATAAAATGACATGTGTGTTGTTATTTCAATGTGTCGGATACCTACATTATAGACAGGGGTGCACATAACTGGTACGCAGGTACATGACACAAATCTGAATTAATGTCACTTGTGAACCGCACACACACTGAGAACTGCGCCAAATCAGCTGATCGCAACATTCACGCTCTGTGGTCAAGCTGCTGCCGTTTAATTTACAACAAGTTGGAGCAAAACACAGAGCTGCAAACTTAATGGAAGAGTTTGAAATCAGACAGAGGTGGAAGAAGTACTCAGATATTGTACTTGAGTAAAAGTAGAAGCACCATAGTGTAGCTATACTGTGTTACAGTAAAAGTCCTGCATTCAAAATGTTACTCAAGTAAAAGTAGAAAAGTATTATCATCCAAATATAGTTAAAGTAAAAGTAGTCATTGTGCAGATTGGTCCATTTCAGAATAATATCTATGATATGTTTTATAATTATTGATGCATTAATTATCAAGGCTGGTAAAGGTGCAGCTAGTTGTAATGACTTTGTATTGTGCAGGGTAGCTGGTGAATTTACTACAGGTGGAACTAAAGTCTAAGTAAAAGTACACCATTTACCTCTGAATTGTAGTGGAGTAGAAGTACACAGTAGCATAACATAGAAATACTCAAGTAAAGTACAAGTATCTTAAAATTGTACTTGAGTAAGGTACTTAAATAAGTGTACTTGGTTACTTCCCACATCTGAAATCAGATATGACTTCAAGTCAGGTGATCATTTCTTGGTATCCTTCAACTTGGCCTCAGGAAATGCAAAGACTTCACATTTTGGAGAAAGCAAATGGGAGGATTAAACGGGGACAGGGAGGTGCATCTTCATCATCTACCATGCAAGAAGAGGAACTAGAGGACAGTGAAGGAGACACGGAGGGGGACAGTGAGGAAGACTATACTTATTAAAACCACGCTTCATGTGGGTTGAGTACCAAACGCTATCTCCTGGTACTCATCTGAGTAACTCACTAAAAAAAGTGATGTGCACCCCTGATTATAGATACATTTAGAAAAAAGATACATTTGAGACATTCTAGGGAAATTCAATAAGCTCATAGGACAAACTGAGGATTCTTATAGTGTTTTTTGTGGCGTGTTTATAGGCTGGACATGGTGGAGAGCTTTGTGTGTGACTCTGAGCTCAGACAGACCTGTCAGGAAGATCTGTTGCGGCGTTTTCCGGACCTTAACCGTCTGTCCAAGAAGTTCCAGCGTCACTCTGCGACTCTTCAGGACTGCTACCGCGTCTACCAGGCTGTGAGCCACCTCCCGACACTCATCAGCGCCCTGGAGAGATACTCAGGTACACAAAGCTGCAGGTCATGCTATGTGTTACTGCACTGTACACTATGGGGCCAATTGATTTTGCTGGTGCAGTTTGTTGCTCCTCCTATGGCCTTCATCATCATCTTCATTAATCTGGCTATTTACTGTCAACATGATGCAAAAATAATTCTGGATTTGTCCATTACTAGTCCAGAACCTAATAAAGAGTCACTTTTCTCTCCACTGAACACCTTGTTACCTGACATAGTCTCCAGCTGCTGTAGCCCATTCATATACAATTAATCTGTACTGTAGTTATCAAAAGCAATGCAGCATAGCCCTCAACCTTCTGATTGTTGCTAAATTGCTTACATTCTTTATGAATTCTAAAACTTCTTGTTTGATATTTTGGTAAATGTGCACTTGAGTGAATGCTGGAGGTGTAGCTGATAAACTAGTGATTAACATGCATTAGTAGCCCACATACATACACACACTGCAGTGCATTCATTTATCTTCCGTGTGTACTACATAGCTTGATTTCCTGTGTGTGTTGCAGGTAGCTACGAGGTTCTGTTGGAGGCGGTGTTCCTCTCTCCTCTCAGAGACCTGCACTCTGACTTTGTTAAATACCAGGAGATGATTGAAACCACGCTGGACATGAACCAGGTCTTTGCTCTAGTATTTTATGTACAATTTAAGAACATTGCTCCCATAATATTCTATTTAATTCTTCACGCTGTTTACATGTTTCTTTTCTTGCATGTTTTGTGTAGATTGACCACCATGAGTTCCTGGTGAAGGCGTCATTCGACCCCGTGTTGAGCGAGCTGAGAGAAAAGATGGACGAGCTGGAGGAGAGCATGAAGGTGGTGCTGAACAGTGCAGCCAGAGAACTAGGTGACAAACACACACACGCACACACACACACACACACGGCACTGAGACCAAGTTTATCTATCTAGCGGATATCTGTGAAAATGAGTTTATTCTGTATTTAAATGGAGTGACTGCACGCATCTGCTGACAAAAAAGTCAAAGCAAGTCGATTACACCGTGAGGTCATCAAGCGCTTTTTTTTTCAGTGTAGTAAATTCTTCAGATCGTAAACAAATTAAAGACCAAGATTAAATATCAGGCTGAATGGAAAAAAACATAAACTATTTTTGAGAATGTTGTCTTTATATATAAAAAAAGAATGACGTTTTCTAAGTCTCTGTCTGTAGGCCATCTAAACTTCAATGTTTGTAAAAAACGAAAAATAAAAAACTAATTCTAAATGTGTTTTTTTTTAATATAGGATTTTACTCATGGTAGTTTTTTTATTTTCACATTAGAAAAGAAAGGACAAAAACACTTCTACTGCTTCAGCTAAAGCAGGTTAGAGCTCTTATCTTCAAATTCAACACAATTTTCCATTGAGCAGCCAGACCACCCAGTGTTACAAATCAACTTTTCCTGACAGATAACTAATCTTTTGTCTCCTAGTACAGACGGTATAGACTCTTAGGTTTATCAGTGTGGAGGATCTCTGTGGCAGATTCCCACAGACGGTCAGAAAGCCTCCTAAACAGCAGCCATCTGTCCAACACCGTGAAATTAATGTTGTTACATTTTACTTGGAACTATAGAAACATTTAACTTTGTATGATTCCAATAGACACATTTTGACTTGATTGAGATCTTTATTTTTTTTGCCAATTGGCCACCCTTATGTCCTTCTCCCAGGAAATGTGTGATGGCAGTAACTCAGATCTGTTGAGACATTTTTATGATAAACCAGAACATGTCAAACTGATTGTTAAAATTGTGCTAATTATGCTAATTTTCAGGTTCATACTTGTATTTAGTGGCTCTGCTGTGACATGTTTACATCAGAGTCCTGCATCGGGTCGGGTACCAGCGGGTAAAAAAAAAGGGATTCGCGGGTGGTATTTAAAAAAAAAAAAAAAAAAATCCAGGTTCGGTTCTGGGTAAAACAAAGAAGATGCGGCTCGGGTCGCGGGTGTTGCATAATAAATATATTACAAATAATAATTTAATTTAATGTTTAAATCCTCAGACCTATCCCCTGCGGGACCGCGCATAATCCTAACCTCTGCACCGCATCAATCTGCTGCTGAGTGCGCCACATTCGAAATGGCTGAGGTGAAGGCGAAGCTCGGAGAATACAGCATTGTCAATAACTCTTCCTCAAGAGCGAAATCCAACGTCTGGGAGGCGTGTCATCCTAGATGGAGAAAATGACCAACATCCCACGCTTTTCGAGCCAAATACGCAACTGCGTGTGTCAACTGCGTGCGCCACTGTCAGGACAGTGGCGCTACGGCTATTGGGCCAACTCCACCAATCAGGAGGAGACGGCCACGGCCATTGCCGTTCGAAAGCGCTGGAGACGCTGTAGTACATATGCCAGGCCTGTAGGTGGTGCTGTTCTCACAGAATCAGCCCTTGCAAAAACAGGGCTAAAAAAGTGCAAATTGAGCGAAATGAGGCATGGCATGATCTGTTTGGTATTTTGAAAAAAAAAAAAGTATAAATATGCCTTATATAGGTATGGTCCTACACTATATTATTCAAATATAGCATGATAGGTCCACTTTAAGTGAATACAAGCCTAACTTTATCGCATAAGAACAAGTAAAGTAAACACAATAGACACTTATATTATATTCTTCAAACAAATGTAGCTATTTCAGTGTTTTGTACATTTGTTTCCATTTATGTGGCTACCTATTTTATAGAGTGTATACGTTTTTGCAAAGTGTGTGTATGGTCCTTTTTCTCTTTGTCTGTACATTAATGTATGTGATTCCACTGATGTTTGAATTGGTGTCTGAGCTCACCGCACTAGCGTTGTGTTTCAGGTCTGGATGCTGGTAAGACGGTGAAGCTGGAGTCTAACGCCATGCTGGGCTTCTACCTGAGAGTCACCTGCAAGGAGGAGAAGACTCTGAGGAACAACAAGAAGTTCAGCACGCTGGACGTCCAGAAGAACGGAGTGCGCTTCACAAACGGGTCAGTCTCTCACACACACACACCTCATGTCCTCCTCGTATAGATGCTCTCTTCCTGTCAGCTGACTCTCTGTTGTCTCGCATGTCTACAGGAAGCTGAGCTCTCTGAACGAGGAGTACACTAAGAACCGTGAGGAGTACGAAGGGGCCCAGGACGCCATTGTCAAAGAGATTATCAACATCGCCTCAGGTGAGGAACGCCATCACATGCTGCTCACTGTGGCTCATCGGCATGGCATTGATTTGAGACAGAAGACGTTACGTCGGCACGATGATCCCGGATTTGTCTTATGTGACCTTCTAGTAAATGATTTCATGCACATTTTCTTCAAAGGGCAACACACTGTCATGTACTTTAAACAGAGAGTTGAATAACATTCTAGTCAGATGGTGTTCTTTAACCAGATACACATCTTTTCGGAGCCTGCACATGCTGCAGTCTCGTGTTTCTCTGCTAATTCATTTGAAGTGCTGAACCTTTTATCACCCACCAGGCTACGTGGATCCTCTCCAGACGATGAGCGACGTGATTGCGCAGCTGGATGCCGTGGTGAGTTTCGCCGTGGCGTCCGTCTCCGCTCCTGTGCCGTTCGTGCGGCCTCGCCTGCTGGCGGACGGATGCAGGCGGATGGAGCTGACGCAGGCCAGACATCCCTGCATGGAGACTGACGCTGACACCGCCTTCATCCCCAACGACATCACCTTCACCCAGGGAGAGAAGAACTTCTACATCATTACAGGTGTGACCAGATATCGCACTTCCAAAGTGACATATGAAACACTTTCATTGCAAGTCTGTTGAGAAACACATCAAAGCTTATGGGAGTAAATAAGGGACTTTTTTTGGTATTATCCCCTTTTCAAGAATAAAAAGAGACTTCTCAGTCTCCTTTTCACCCATTCCGTCAATTCAGAGATCAGTCAAACAACAGCCAATACAAACAAAGAAGAATCTCTTTCTGTGTTGTTCCCTGTGTGTGAGAATTGTGTTTCAATCCCAGAGGTCAGGTTGTTATCTGTAAACATTGTAATTTGCCCCCTAGTTCTGAGAATTAAGGCACATGACAATGGTCAAACATAACTCTTGTCTCCACAGGACCAAATATGGGCGGTAAATCGACGTTCATCCGTCAGGTGGGAGTGATCGCTCTGATGGCGCAGATCGGCTGCTTTGTGCCGTGTGAAAAGGCGGAGCTTAGTGTGATTGACAGCGTCCTGGCCAGGGTGGGAGCGGGAGACAGCCAGGTCAAAGGAGTGTCCACTTTTATGTCTGAGATGCTGGAGACGGCTGCCATCCTGCGGTAACAACAAACACACAAATTGCCAACAGCTAAAAATGATGCACAACGCATTTTTCTCATTGCACGTTTTGCCCCTTCAGCTCGGCAACAGAGAACTCTCTCATCATAATCGACGAGCTCGGAAGAGGCACGTCCACGTACGACGGCTTTGGTCTGGCCTGGGCCATAAGCGAACACATCGCCTCCAAAATCAGCTGCTTCTGTCTGTTCGCCACTCACTTCCACGAGCTGACGGCCCTGGCAGCGCAGCAGTCCACCGTCCACAACCTGCACGTCACCGCTCTGACCTCACACAACACTCTCACCATGCTGTACAGGATCAAACACGGTGGGCACATATTTAGGGCTGGGGAGTTTATGAATGTAGTGTAACAAGCTTTGTGACCTGACCCGTCGCCTGACTCTGTGTTCAGGTGTGTGCGACCAGAGTTTCGGTATCCATGTGGCCGAGTTGGCTTGCTTCCCGCCATCGGTGGTGGCCATGGCGAAGGAAAAGGCGGAGGAGCTGGAGGAGTTCCAGGAACCAGCGGGGGGGAAGCAGGAGAAGGGGCCCGAGGCCAAGAGACGACGCACGGACAAACAAGTAGGGCTCAGTGCTTCACCGTCCAGCTGTCATGGCAACCTACATAATCATGCATCATGGCCTCATTAGAAACAAGAACCCGACCCCAACTTCATTAGAAGCATGACATGTTTCTCTAAATTCTATATTATTTGTGGTATCCAATGATAAAAAGTGTTCATACCTTCTTCTTTTTTTAAACATAAATGCACTTTACAGTTTGAGACATACTGACCTTTTCAATGGCAATTTAGGACAAACGTTTTAGAATATATGGTATAGTATGACATTATCCTTTTTATGATGTACTATACTTATATATTTAAAATACATACAGTAAATGTTGTTTTGAGGCTGAAAAGCTGGTTTTCCCTTCAGGGTTCCTTAAGAATTGACATTTTACAGATACAAATTGTACACAAACGGCAATAGGTTTGACCTTACCTAGTACAATTCCATCAAGCTTCCCAGCATCAGACTATCATTAAAGTGATGTAATGACTGTATACAGATGGATGTGGTGTACTGGCAGTAGTAACATCCCTCAGGAACAATTGACCTGATGTGCCTCTCTGCTTCAGGACGGGGAAACCCTGATCCAGGAGTTCCTGGAGAAGGCCAAGTCTCTCCCTGCTGCCACCATGAGTGAAGAAGAGGTGAAGACAGCGCTGAGGAAGATGAAGCAGGAGCTCCTCTCCAAAAACAACACGTATATCACAGAGATCCTTTCACGCTGTGTTCCTGCAAAAACAGTTTGATTTAAGAATCGAGACAAACAAACCTCTTAGTTCATGTGCTGTAAGTAACCACTAGAGCGCTTTAAATGTATAGTTTTGCAATAAAAAAGTATTACTGGATATGTTTGAGTTGTATTTCTTGCCCCCGTTACTGCCATTTTAAAAAAGCAGATTGTTTGAATACATAATGCATGTCCAAACACTTGAGATTCTTCAGCAGCAAATCATAAAACCAGACATTCATGGTGAACCACCATAACAGGAATTTAAAGACAGACACCTGTGATCTAATAAAGTTTTATTTTCTTAGAAATGGCCAGTTTCCTGTTTTCTTTTTTGTCTTTCTAAGAAAGTATACCCCTTTTTGAATTCCAACTAGCATCTACATAATGGTTATTGATACTCACAATATATTAAGTCTAGATGTTATGGTACATGCATACGATTCAGGCTGCATGAGGAGCCACAGTCACCACGATACACGGGGGAGAGAAGGGGGGAGGAAGGGTGGGGACGTCTGCAGAGGGACTCATCAGTTCCAGTTCAAAGGAGCTCTGACGCCTCCTATGGAAACCCTCTCCTCAAAACACTGACTGCATCAACTTATAAACATATACACACACACACAACTTTCACTGTACATTACACACTCACATACACACCTTTATACAAGGGTAAGCCCCCCACCTGCCATTTTAGCTAATATATCGGAGAGGGTTTTTAGTGTTTAAACGAGATTCTCTTTCACAGAAAGAACTTCACCACTGGGACATTTGAGTTTCTGGAGTGGGAGGAGGATGCTAACCAAAGAAAAATAATAATATATAATAAAATAAAAGACAATCAAATACAGTCAGCTTTTTTGCTTGAAAATACAAAACTACATGAGAAAGCATTGAAATAAAATCCATTGATCAGAACATATTTTTTTTTTTTTAAAAAGCCCAAGTGCTCCGTCTCACACACACACACACACACTATCTTTCTCTTTATCCACACTAAGAGCAACATCCGCCCATCCGTTGCCTAATTACAACTGGGCAGCCAATGGGGATGGCAGCTGCGAGGAAGCAGGAAGTCACTTTGACAGCAGTTCTTGTGAGGAAGAAGAAGTGGGCTGGGAGCCGAGGATGAACACCGGGGGGAACTTCACACTCTGCCACCGAGCCCCTCTGCCTAGCCCCTTCCCATCTTTGTCTTCAGACTGCAATAAGAAATACTCAGTGAGGAATCTCTTGTGGCCGTTCTGTCTTCTCTTGTGGCCGTTCTGTCTACTCTCAGCTCCACGGCTCCCTCTTGAGGAGTCTGTGTGTGCCTGCAGCGTGCAGCGGGGCGGAAGCTGCTTCCTCTGCAGCCTCTTCCACCTCCATCCCATCTGAGAGCGCCGCAATCACAGAGTCTCTCTGGGTCCTTATGGCTGCGAGTTGATATGTGTGTGTAATGTGTGTCATCGTGTGCGTGCGTATGGCTGTGTGCAACGTAATGTGTTTATATGCTTATGTGGGAGGGTGTAACTGGACCGGACGCCTTCAGTTATGTTGCAGCGTGTTGGACTCGATGGGCGGCGCCGAGTCGTACAGAGTGTCCGTGTCGTGCGTGGGCTCTCCCGCCAGCGTGCAGGGGTTGGACAACGTTCCCGCTCCGCAGTCACAGAAAAACCTAAAGGGAATAAATGTCAGGGATTATAAAACAGATTATTTTTTACCTCCATGATGTGGTAGTCATTAGAACAATTTTCAGAAAGGAACCAAAACATGTCTTACCGATCGTGCCGTATAAATTCTACATCGTGCCCTTGGTGGCATTTTTTGATGCAGTTAACACAGATGGCGTTCCTATCTGTTGTATTACAGGTGTGACATCTGGAGAGAAGGGAAACAAATAGATTTATGGCAGACATATGGCCATTCTTGTACATTTAGAAAATTACCAAATGAATGGAAATGAAATCATGTTTCCTAAATGCAAACATTTAATCAATCGGCTGGTCTACAAAATCAAATAAAAAAAAAATATATATATATATATATATATATATATATATATATATATATATATATATATATATATATATATATATATATATTAGAACTTACTTCAACTTCTTGTTGGAAATCAAACAATTATTTTTATAAAAGATATTTGTTTAACTGTCACTAAAAACAATAGACTATAAAACTGGTTAAACATACATTTAGTATCTTATTCCTTTCACCTCTACTTGATTTCCTGTATGCGTCGCAGCCTACCTGTAGAAGTCGTGCATGGGGTAGCTGGTGTAGCTGGAAATCTTGTAGAGGCACTGCCCTCTGCTCACTGCTTTCTCAATGGCATCCTGGTTATTCAGAATCTTATTATCTGACAGAGGGGGGGGGGGCAGGAAATGAGATTAGGAAGCAGATCCTAACAGCTTGGAACCAGGCCGGTCAGAGCGGTAATGTCCAAAAAGCAGCAGTTACCTTTCATGGTGACGTTGACCCCCGAGGCCAGAAACAGGCCTCCGAAGCGATTGTTGAAGATCTGGTTGCCCTCCAGTGTGGCTGTGGCGTGGTTAGTGATTTCAATACCTGCAGCGAAGCCGTCAAAAATGCGGTTCTTGCGGAGTATCGGGTGGCTGTTGGTGCTGATCAGCACTCCGGCCTGCGCGTTTCTGAAAATGTCGTTTTCTTCCAACAGACCTAAAGAGAAAATTAAATCATGGTTCAAACTGTAGATGTGCAGGAACAAACTGCAGGGTGTGCATTTAAACGATGAAGCTCAATTGTACATTGATAGTACGATCAAGTTTCAGACGTGCACCAAAATCTATGTGATGTTTAAGACTTTAGGCGTTTAGGTACCTCTGCCTCCGTTGAAGATGCAGATGCCTCCATCTCTGCCGTCATGAATCTTGTTTCGTCTCAGCGTGGGGTTGCTGTCAGTCTTGATCCACACCCCCGCCATGGCATTATCAAAGATCTCATTGTCCTCGATGAAGCCCAGACCTGTTGTATTAAACATCAGGGTTAGACATGCCGATACACAATCAATACATTTGGGACAAGGGGAGCAGCAGAATAGAAGATACAGACCTGAGTTGTAAACTAAAATCCCTCCGTTCTGCCCCCCCCATATCTTGTTGCGCCTGATCTTTGGGTTGCTACCGGTCCTGTCAAGAATCAACAAAAATGATCAGAAACATTCAGGACTTTAGAGATGCATTTCATATGATCTATGTTAGGAGAGCACACTGCAGACTGGAGGAAGCTGTTACCTTATTTGTACACCAGAGTACATGTGATTGTAGATGTCATTGTCTTCCAACACACCGTGCCCGTTGTCATAGAAATATACGCCAACCTAAAAATAGAAAAAGACAGGTGATCACAACGTTTAGTTAACACGAGAAAAGATCATACAGGTTTGTTAAACAGCATGGTCAGAGTGTTTTAGCTATACAAAATATCCCAGAAGAGAGAGAAGACAGAAGAAGTGAGATGATGCTGAGACCGCCAGACCTTAGTGAAAGAGCATTTTATACTTTTTGAAAGGTGTATGTATTTTTATTACTTAACATAATTCAGTTTTTTGGGAAAAATACACAACTCTAACTCACGTTATCTGGCATCTTCAACAACTCTTTTTACAACTATGAAGTGCCAAATCATAACCAGATTCCTTAAGAAACCAAGAATTGTGAATGGAAATTAAAAGTCTGAATGGCTTTAATAAGTTTGATATGTTTAACTAAGTGTACAGTATTGCTGTCACTCAAATCCAAATGTGAGAGTATAGCATCCAATAGAGTCATTGCAGCTGCTTCTGACACGTGCAAGTCAAAACACACGAGACCACATCAGTTGTGGAAATGTCATCAGAAGCAGCGATCGATTAGCCTCAGATAAAAACTGACTGGTTGTCAGCTGATTGGCCATGATCAGTGGCTGCTCCTATAGTCTCATGTACAGGTCAAATGTACACATTAAGCTCACAATCCATAACACCCGCAAGTCCAAAATAAATAAAATCAACATTAAAATGTGTCATAAAATAATGCACCAATTGTCTTCTGGGAAATTAAAGTAGGATATAGTGAGATTCTTTTTGAGTTGCAATGGATTTGTCCAGTAATATAGAGCACTTTGCCTGAAATCAGAGAAGATATTTTGACTTGATACAGATTTGTGGGAAGTTATTTAAAAAGCTAATGTCTATTTATGAACATACTCCTGAGTTTTCCATGACAGATCGGTCTCAAAAAGGTTTGCGTGTATGCTGTTAATTATAGCTCTTACAAAATAAATACAATCGATTGCAAGAGTAGTAATCAGCCAAGTTAATGACAATCTCTGCTCCACGTGTGTTTACAGGGTGAATGTTAGACCACGTTAATCTCACCTGCTTGCCGCTGTGGATGCGGTTCTTGCGGAGGACCGGCGTGCTGCCCGTGGTCACCCACACTCCAGCCAGGGTGTTGCTGTAAACCTCGTTCTCCTCGATCACCCCCTGGCCTTTCTCATGCTGAAACACAGAGCAGGATCAGTGTCACGCACCTCTGACGGGGCAGCGTTTCAGCTTTTATTAAAACCTGAAAAGTGTACTTGCTGGGGAAAGGGGTAACATTTCAACCATGTTCCAAAGGATATTTACCACATAGATGCCCCCATGCTGTCCATCGTGGATCTTGTTGTGCCGTACAATGGGGCAGCTGTTGGTTCGGATCTGGATTCCCGCCAAGGCGTTACCATAGATATCGTTACTCTCTATCAAACCCCGTCCATCTCCAAATATGTACACCCCTCCTTGGTTACCGTTGAATATAGCATTTCCCCTGGATACAAAAGGAATAAACACAACATTGGAATAAACATGCAGGTAGAGACAGAGACATCAAACTTCCTACAAAACTATTTTTTCTTCCAAAATAACAATCAGCCATGTTGAACTTAAAGTGGACCTATCATGCTATATTTGAAAAATATATTGTAGGGCCATACCTATATAAAACATGTCTGTGAAGTTTTTTTTTCAAAATACCAAACAGTTCACCCATTGTAGCCATGCCTCATACTGCTCAAACCCCTCTTTTGAAGCCCTGTTAGAGAAACGCAGATTTTGGGTCCTTAGCTTGAAATAAATAA